CCCCGTCCGGGTGAGGAGGCCGGATGCCCCGGGGCGCCCGGTGAGGGCCCGGCCCGGCAGCAGCAGCGTGGGGTACAAGGCGCCTCCTCAGGGAGGGCGGCCCCTGAGCGGGGAGCAGGGGGCGGTCGGGCCGTGCCCAGCCTGGGGCCGGGGCCAGGGACTCCTCCGAGCTGTCCCCAGCCCTCGCCAGCCAAACCAGCCGCCTTTCTGGAAACGGAGGTGGAAGAGGACTTCAAGTTCAAATCATTGCGGAGGGACTTTTTAAGCAAAAATAAATATTTTTCTGAAAAGGCTGGTTGACAGCTTCTGAGCAAAACCAGGGGTAGCTGGCATTTACGCCGCGTAATTGCTGCCACATGCTTCTGTGGATTTAGCTTCTCACAGCTACACAACAAAACAAAAAACCCAAACCAGGTCATCATAACATTTCACAGCCGCGGGGGAGAGGCCTGGCATCGTGCGCTCCTGACGCTCAGCTGCAGCGGGTACGAGGCCTGTGATCCAAAAGCCCGGGGCCTTGGTGGACGGGTGCGTGGGGACGTTAAGCGACGCGAGGGCTCAAAACTGGCAGGATTCCTGCGGGCGTTCGCCCCGGCAGAGGCTGGCTCAGCCACTGCTGCTGGCAACAGGGGCTCAGACTCCTTGAGACTCTCTGATCAGCTCCTGCTTGGGTCTTTCAAGACTTTCTTGAAGAATGATCAGCATCTCCAGTACCCGCGAGCTTTCAAAAATGTAAATACACCTTAGCTACAAAGATTTCCGAGCGATACGCTGTTGTGCCAGTGTCAGGTGGGGATGGCAACAAGCCTGCGGTGTAAGATTCAGAAAGGTGTTTGAAAACATCTTCAGGTGTTTTGCTGTGATTCATCTTCCTGCTATGCCCTCCTGTGAGCTGCAGCTGAAAGTCATTAGAGTTAGACCCAAAGAAAGGACCAGGGTGCAGAGAGTCCAGGGCCCTGGATGGTGTGCATTTCAAGCTTTGGAAAGGAATTTGGAAAGCTGGGTTAGAGTCTGCAGCTCACTGAGCAGTGTCTGGGGAGAGTTTGGATCTCCAGAAAGAAAGCCAGGCAATGCTGTGACCAAGGAGCTGCCTAGGTCAGCACATTCAGTCCCAGGCAGCCAAAACTACTGAACCTTTTCTCAGAGCTGCTGAGAATCGCCTCCACCAGTTTGGAGTCCAAAGATCAAAACCATTTCCTGAAGGCAAAATTTCTAACCTTTTTTTCTCAAGCTATGCTTTAAAAAGCCTAATACCCTGCTTGCATGCAATGGTCTTGTTCTTCAAACACTTATTCATGATACGGGAGGCTGATGTACACTTCCCTGCTGTCTGATGGCATTCAAATTCACGTCTCCCACCCGCCACCTAACGCCTGAACCATAAATAACTCTGTATGTTATCCAATGACTGTTTTAATGAAAAATATAGGACCAATCAGTGGAACAGAGTGCTAGTGTTTGCTTTCAGTAGAACCCCTTGTTGCTGAGGGAGAATCCAGTCCTGCAGCTGCAGGAGAATCCTTGCTCCACGATAGCTCATAAAAGTCCATTCCAAAAGGGGATCTGTGGAGAACAATAGATGACAACACCCAACAGAAGAATGGGTGTATATTTTTCAAGTTTCCTGTTAATTTCCTGCAATTAGGCTTTATTAGGAAGAGATGAAATATGGCATGCTCCATTCAAGTCTTAGCACATACACTAACACCATTCTCTTTCAGCCTTGACTTTGCCCATCGTCGATGTAAACAGTATGGTAGCCCTACTGCCTGCGAGAATAAAAAGTTTGGGTTCCTGCTTTATTAATTACAGAGATGGAGCTTACACCAATGGTGTTCTGCTTCATTTCATAGTAGAGCTGGCTTGGGAGCTCTCTTTCAGTAGCTGCTTTTTGCTGAATAAATGTAAGAAAGTCACAACTACTTGTGGGAAAGATTGCAGCAGGTTTCTAGCTTAAAAATTAGACGAGGGAAAAATTTCAGAACTATCAAAATATTCTATAATGGATATTTACTGAATGAAAAATTTCTGTTTTTTTTCAGTTCAGAATGACTGCTCATTTCAAAACTCCTGTTACAAACTAGTAGAAAAAACAATAGAAAAGAAAATATTTTGAGTAGCCCTCAGGCTGACCATTACGTTTTATTTTAGTGTATAATTTTGACTTGTTTCCCACTGAGGGAAAAAATTAATCACAAATATTCTCCCTGGAGAACTATGTTATTATTAACTTCTGTAAAAACATAATCCTAATTCTAAGTCTCTCTTTTTCCTCAGAGAACAAACTCTCATCTCTCTGGTCATTCTCCTACTCTTCCCTAAGTCAGCTGTCTTCTCTCTTCTTAAAGATCCTACTATGAAAGGACATAGTCTAAACCATGGTTATTTCCGTGGGTGGATTAACTGAATAATACATGTTAGGTCCGAGCCAATGTAATTTCCTTCAAGAGAAAAGGAGAGGATTTCGTAAGAATTTGATGACTTGAAGGCTTTGAAAAGAAATCTTTTTCTCCCACATGCTCAGGCAAGATTTGTGGTGTGAGCATGTTGCCAAGAGTAACTTACTGTAGACCTTTCTTATGTAAATAAAAGTGAAAACAGTGCACGAGTGCAAACATCTAGTGGTGGAGTAAGATAAACTCATTGAACCCAGTGACCTCATTTCTCTTTCAGTTGCATAAAAGGACTTGCTCTTTCTTGTACTGGTCCTCCTTGCTGTTGCGCGTGTGGTTAGCTTCACCTTGCACTTTGGTGGGATCTCTTCCATGGTGTGTATAACCCCCACGCCCTTCATCTTACATCTCCTTTGTGGTTCTTTTTCACATTTTCATTTCACGTTACTTGCTGTAGCCTTTTGCAATACATTTCAGTGGGAAAGAG